ACCTGAAACTTGTCCATTTAGTGACCACTCCTTGAAGGTACGTGGTTGGATATAAATGACCTGAAACTTGTCCATCAGTAAGTGATTTAGTAACTATCCCTTGAAGGTACGTGGTTGGATATAAATGATCTGAATTCTATTCTTAGGTTTTATTTTTCCCTTCTCTTGAAAAATTTCTTTTTGTTAAAAAAAAAAAAAAAAACATGGACTTATTTGCTTCAATTATATTTACTTTAACCCTTACATCATATTTGCATCATAGTTATCTCATATAAATTATGATTCTCTTTTACATGCTTAATTTCTTTTAAATCTTAAATTAACATAAATAAATAAAAAGAATAACAAAAGCTATTATAGTGACTAAATGATTTAACCTTTAAAGTTTAGGTCTTTAAGCTCATTGGTTGTGTTCTAAACCATATCAAAAGTCATTTATAGCCAATATACTCTCCCATCCCCCCTCCCCCCTCCACCCCAAATCTCTATGTTCAAAAAAAGGAAAAAAGAAAGGTTAGAGAGTTAACCCAAATGAAATGTAAGGACTTAATTGTACCTTAAGGAAGACTTTTGGATGTCCCCAAATATTAATTTTTGAATTAATTTCTATTAAATGCTACTTTTGTTACAAAATAACTAACGATTGTGAATTTTTAAGACTGTTTAACAATTTTAAAAATCACTTTTCTGAAATAATTAACTCTTTAAATAGATAAATATTTTTATTTTAAATTTATTATTATTTATTTTGATTAATTATTTTATTCTAAAAATTTTAATTTTTTTTAATTTTTTTTAAAGTATATAAATAAATATATAAAAATTATACTAAAATCCTTAATTTAAAGACGATGTAAAAAAAATTATTATTGTTATTTTGGGAGGGTCAAAGCTCAGACAGTTTTAATGGGCCAACCAAGAGGCTGTAATATTGGGCCTATATCTTTTCTGCTTACGTGGCAGTCCATGTTCTCTCAAGCTGCTGCAAGCAACAACTATGCTTCTCCTGCAATCTCATGTTTGTCCACAACACCGAAAACACCCAAAACCCTAAACCACAGTGAAAATCCCTCCGGCCTCTGCTTTCTTTCTCGATTGCGAGATTTATCTGCCGCCGGCGACGATAAAGATGGCTGCTTTCAGTGGATCCCGATTCAAGGAATTTGTGAAGAAGTACGGGAAAGTGGCACTAGGGGTGCATTTTTCGGTCTCTGCAGCTTCCATCACTGGCCTCTACGTCGCCATCAAGAACAACGTCGACGTCGAATCACTTTTCGACAAATTGCACCTTCCTGGCTTCACAAAGGAAAAAAACCCACCTGTGGAATCCCGACAAGATGGGACCTTGTTGGAAGGAGAGGTAGGAATTCCTGATGCTGAGATGTCGACGACGGTGGTGATGGAGGAGAAGAGGAAGAACAGGACTGCTGAGCTTGCAGCGTCAACTGGTGGTGCCCTGGCATTGGCTGTACTCTGCAACAAGGCGCTTTTTCCTGTTCGGGTTCCCATAACCATAGCACTTACACCTCCAGTGGCTAGGTTCCTGGCTAGGAGGAACATTATCAAGAACCGTGTATGATGCTTTTTTTTTTTTTTTTTTATCTTCAAAGGTTAGCAATTTTCTCTGTTGCCATACATGACATCTTCTGTGAATGGATTTTGGGTTGATTGTGGAAAGAGAGAGCTGGTCCCCTTTTCATCTGCATTGTGTTTTATATTGGATTTAAACTTGAAATAAGAAATGGATCTTCTAAAACAGTTATGAATATTCCTGTTGTTTTAATGGTTTGGGAAAGGAGAAGATGGTAGTTTACAAGCTCAATAGTTATGTGGGTTTTGATTTATAATGAATTAATGATGCATGTCCTTCCATGTTAATTATGTTCATATAATTGAGGAATGGGGACTGGGAAAATGGCTATTGTTTAGCTTCTTGAGTCTTTGCGCTTACATTTGTTATGCAATTGTTTCTGGCTCATGGTTCTATATGGTATGCTGCTAGCAATTTTTGCATGAAGTACCAAACTAGAATTTGAATAAGCAATCTATGTGTGTTTGATTTGATTAGTGCTCAGGTGCTAATCTTGTCCAGTTTTGGTATGAAAAGTATTCAGTAGAATATTTGACTATATAAATGCACTTTTACTTTTGTGTCTCATGTGCTTATAGTTTATGGTGCTAAATTTTTATCCATGGTATGAAAGTATTTAGTGAAATTTTGAATGCATATTTGTGTTTACATGTCTGTGCTCACCTGTATCTAGCTGTGTATGGCTCTGTTGCTAAAAATTTGCAATTTTGCCATGAAAGTAGTGAGCAAGGATATGAATATATATCTCTGCTTGCAAATGCCCATGCTAATGTGCACATTTGATTCGATTATAGTTAAATGTCATGTTTTTGCACACTGACAAGTCTTCATTTACCTTCGTCATTAGTGGTGAATGTCTTATGTTATATTATACATAGGCTAATCTTCATTTGCCTTTATGCTTAATGATAAGGCATTTGGTTTTGGTGTGGCTAAATACTATAGTAATTGGGAAACTAGAATTTAAATTCTTAAATTGTGTTATCATGACTTAAAAAACAGGTGATATGACAAGCTGTTCTTTTTGGAAGAGATGGATCACTTGTAAGGTCTAACCTTTTTGTACTTGTGAAGAAGACTAAGCTGCGTACTTCAAGTGGTTTAAATTTCTTACCTTCTACTAATAAAAAAACTAGAGCAAGTCTTACATGCTTGTGTCATCTTGAGTTCTTTCGATGTTAACGGTGGCCTCCATTGAGATTTTATCACTATCAGAAACTCTTGCTTTTTGTCTGTTGGTACACACAGAAGGTTTAGGGGTTGCATACTTGATAGGTAAAGGTAGATTCTCACCTCTTTACAACTTAAAGGCATTTGTTGATGTTATGTCTCTATCGTTGGGTAGGAGATGTCTTTATTTTCAGAAAGCTCTTAGCTACCAATACAGGGTGTATCGATAATGCCGTGCCCGTCTCTCCCTTTTATTGTATAGTGAACATGTTAATGGATGTTGCCATCTTCCCTGGATAAATTTAGAGTAAACTTATGGTATGAATGCCTTCATAATTTTAAGTTCATTTCTGAGTTTTAGATGGTGAAAGTTAGTATATAATAGTCCTAGTAGAACATTTTTCCTAATCAATTATAATGTGTTTTGATTTGTGTGTCAAGAAAGTTAATCTCCTAAATCAAGCCAATTGAATTTTTGGTCAGCTTCCACAAATTCTTTTTCTAACGAAATGGCCAACCAAACAGCCCATCCGGCTCCGGTGGTGAGGCTGATTTTTTATATCAGTGGCATTTATTTATGAGGGGCCGACGCATACATGAATCTGGAGATTCGAATTTGGGAATTTCCAGGATTTTAACTTGTCCAGTTGTCCTTGAGAGTTGATGCACTATTAATGAGACTTGTTTGGTGATCAACTTTTATGTACAAATTAAGCATAGAAAATGAATGATGATTGTATGTAAAATGACTCAAGACCTAACATGTTTTCTGTTTTCAACATCAAATCAATATTTTATAGCTGACCATATAAGTTTCATATTGGCCATCAACAAATGAGTTATTCAATGGTTGATTTCAAGCTGGATAATTGACTCGACTTTGATGTTCAAGAGATCCTGACTGAACATGGACTCCTTTGATGGAAAGAACTCACTGATCTCCAGATTGAGCATGGCAATCCAGCATACCTGGCCGTTATATAATGTTGATGTAAAATTCTCAGGTAACATAATACTGATTGAACAGGATATTGCTGAAATTCAAATAGAGAACCAAAGTTCAAAACAGCATCCAGAAACTGGAAGAGCAAATACAAGTTCTAATACCTTATCATAAAAAAACTATTAGGTACACGAAAATGATTCAGAATGAAGCATTTGCACATAACATTGATAATGAAGTCTATGAACATAGAATAAAAATTGTAATGGAATAAGCTAAATCTTCAATTTAAATCAATTTATCATATGAAAAGAACAGTCAATCCAAAATCCTGACTGCCTTCCCACTAATAGGGTACCAAAGGAAATTTTTAAACCAAAAAGGGCGGTGAAATTCACCCAGACTGGAAAAAAACAGAGCAATATTTTGAATTGCAAGTTGGCTAAACAAAAATCTCCATTAGGAAAAAAAATGACAAAAGAGGAACCTGCAGTTTGCTTCAAGAATCTGCAGCTCCTAAACTTAGTAAGACTTTCAAACAAGACATAAGAATGTTTCACCAAATCATATGAACATTCAAGCGTATGAGGGAGCCTTTACACTGACAAATATATCTGGAATTTGGAAGTACCAGCACCGAGTCACTGACCTTGTTGGTTTTATGTCAATGTAGTGTGGTTGGTCTTTAAGACCTATACTATGACTGCTGCAGATGCTTAAATTCATGAGAGTCAGCTCCAACTTCACTTAAAGCCAAGAAAAGCTTTGGTACAATCTTGCTTAACATTAGCTTGAAACCAACTGAAGTTGAATTTGCATTGCCCTTATCATTTACAGAGGCATCTTCATTGAGAGAGCCAATTAAGTAGCCTTTCATGTAAGCATCACAGGCCTTAAGGATGTAATATCCACGTCTCCTGAAATGGTCTCTGACAAGTTCTTCAAAGTCCTAGAGATAGTTGTAAAAACTCTTAAAAGTTAATTATGTATCTGGGAAAGACTATAACCCAATTTACATTTAGAAAATAATAGAAATGCCAGATAGAGCAAAAACCACATTTTTGGATTATAATCATGCATAATTAATTTAATAGTAAAGCATTCTTCTCTGCCTAAATGCAATAAACCAAGCAAAGAACAGAACAGAAAAAGGTAACTAAAATGGTAGAAGTGGCAACAACCCAGACTATTTCTTTAGGCCAACAAAACAATGCAAAAACCCAGACTTGGCCAAGCAATTCTTACCTCCCTCCCTTAGGAAGAATAAACAGGCACGGTAAAGTTTCAACCCCATTTCTCCTGGCATTTCCTTAACATACATGAAAAAGAAAATGCAGCCCCAAAAGGGTCTCTCAACTGCTAAAGTGCTAAGAGCTTGAGACTCCAAGTTAGAGGTCTCAGGTTTGAACTTTGAGTCAGGCAGGGAGGGGTTTGAGAAAAAGAAGGATTCCCTGTTGTATTGGTCATCATCATATGTACCCCCCAAAAAAATGCAGTGGTAAAATAACCAAACCCTACCAAATAAAAACTCCTGCCTTAATAAACTTGAAATGGAAATTTTCCTTAACCATGAGAGACATTGTGATTATTAGTCAGCTTTTTATTTGTAGTTTTTGATCATTGTGTCTAAGGATTATTCTTCTCCTCTTCATCAAGATTAATTCTATAAGCAACATCTTCCACTCTAGATATTAGAAACATCTGTCCCTCAATTCTTACTCTATTTTCATTTTTAATGTATAACTTTACCGAGATTGAATTCTATATCTAAAAACTGGGAAAAACAAGAAAAGATTTACACTAAGCAACCCAGAAACTAATTAACCAAAAGACACAATCATTGAAGAACATGGTTTGGGAATGTAATATCACCTTTGGTGGCTTCCGCATGAGGTACATCATTGTTTTGCAGTTTAGTAAGAAAGTATTCTCATTGTATGATAATGAATTTTTCTCTCCTTCGGCAGTCCCAACCTGCTTATCATACCCTGCTTCATTGAAATATGGCCTAGAGTTTAGCACCAATCCCTGTAGTGAAACTAGGACTTGAAGGATGCTAGAAGACACTGGATCCCACACTTCATTTCCTCTGCCAGTCCATGTATTTAGAAGGCTAAGGCACACCTTGCCTTCCTCATACAAATTAGGGTTTATCCTCCAACCACCAGAGTGATAGTATGCTGACTGCATCATCACAAGTTCAGTCAGAGCAAAAACACCAACATGAACCCTATGCCATTCAATCAAAAGAAAAATTCAAGAAATTGTTTTGAATCTCACTGGTGGAACATCTGGATACTCTGGAGGAAGATGAAAATCAAAGAAGAATAAACCATCTTGGTAAGGTGTCCCATATGCCCCAACAATTACTGCCCTTAAGAGTTCCATTCGATCCTCATAAGCCCGCACATAGATCCCATCTGTTAGACATATAACCGTTAAAAATTGTCTCCAATTAAAATACAAAAGCATTATGTAAAATACTGAAAAAATCTTACCAGGCAGGTTGTTCTGGAGGATGTTCCAATCTTGCTGAACCTTTTTCAGCCACTTCCTTCCATTGTTAATCTGCACTCAAAAAGTAATTTGGAAAATTTCCAAAACTCTTAGCAATCTTCAATTGCAAGATTGTGATATTGAAATACTAAGCAGGGGAAAGATCAAATAGGCAGTATAGGCATTATGTTGGAGAGGTTCCATAGAAATGAACGATGTAGCAGAGCTTGTACACACTTTCATGAGCATATGACAAACTCAAGTGACTACTTAATGGTTTTTATTTGGTTCAAAGTAGCAAGATCAAACATTGAGAAGAAAAATGTAATCACAGAAAACCAATCAAGGTTAACCAAACACAAACAATTCCTCAAATTATTATTTCCTTAAGATATATCCTATCAGTTACCAAAAATCATTCCTTTGATCATCAACTAGAAATCAAGAATATGACCTGGCTAAAATCCTATTCCCAGAAAGTTATTTATTTTACATTTTTTTATAACACAGGAATTTTATGTTATTAATAATAAAAGGATATGTACCTGTCCACTCGCACCAAGAAAATAATGGTCTAGAGGATCTTTAGCTATGTCAAACCGTTTGAAACTGCTAGCATCAAGCTCATAACATGCTTTATGTTTCAGTTCTTCAGTCCTTGGGTTGCAGGAACCTTCTGATGCAACTGAAAAGTCATGGGCTTTTGCTTCAACATGTTCCTCTCCTTTACCATGGAAACTTTCCCCACCAGAATTATCAATAACAGTGGACTTCTGAGAGCTAGATTCATCACCAGAATCTTTTCCTTTTGGAATATTTATAATTTCCTGTGAGTCAAGTAGATCTTCACCCTTGGAATCCAGATCAACTGTATCCCCATTTTTTTTTCGGCCAGAAAATAAACCACTGGCCAGTCTTGTTACAAATCCAAAAGCAGAAGCTAAAGAAAGAGGTAAGGCAGGATTTCTTCCAGAACTATTTTCAAGGTTCTCATCTGTCTCTGAGTTAATGCCACTAGCATTTTCTAAGCCAAGTTCCTGAACAACAAGGAGTCATATCATTACCTCAACCAAAAGAAAAAGATTATGAGTAACTGACATTTCAAGTTATTATACTACGAAGTCTACAAGCCAGTGCATAACAAGTTCACTAAGTAAATTTCATGCATCATAGAGAGGAAACAATTTTACTGATGTGGGGACAGATATAATCAATTGCAGATAAAACTATTTTTGAAGAGTGATCTAAATGGCTTGAAATTAATTTTCAAATAAGTAGCACCCTGACATGAAAACACTGGTATTGTTGGTGGCTGATCCTTTAAGTGACTTATTGACATGTAATAGAGTTTAATCTATGGACTCCAATACTATATGATTTGATTAGAAACCAACCTCTTGAGCAATCTCAAGTGCATCCATCTCATCATCACTAACTGTTTCCCAACTAGCAGCATCATCACTTGCTTCACTCCCACCAGCAATTGATTCATCATCATCTCGACCAACAACATAAATTGCTTGAGGCCCAACCTAAGAGCAATCCAGAGAATAAAATTTTCAGATCAATAACTGTGTCCCTTCAGAGGTAAGAAAAGGAAAAGGAAAACAAAATCATCATCAAATAATTAAAAAGGTAGGCAGAATGAATTAAAGTGTATTTGTATCATGCTGATATCTTCTTTTGGCCAACATATCATGCTAATATCTCTTTTTCCCTTCCTCTTTTAACTATTCTTTGAAATTAGAATAGCTACTAACAACATCCTACAAGAAATTAAAATAGCACTACGAAGAATCAAGAAGTAATATTTATAGAACAAGGCATCGAGATTATACCGTTGAGACCATCCCATCAGCCCATGTAACTTCAATATCACCATCTCTAAGGCCAGTTATATTCCCAACCCATGAAAGATCCTCAAAATCCATAGAAGCTTTATTAACTGAGGAATCTTCTGCTTTCTCACTTTCTGAGCACTTTCTCACATCTTGTTTAACCTCATTTTGCCCAGTTTGATGTTCAGATTCCTCACTAGAACCACCATTTGAAGCCGATTGCAAGGGAACTGACACGGGAGATAACCTAACTACAACATCCCCATAACAGTAATCATAGTCAGGATGCCCTTCCAGCTCATACACACTAACAATTTCCTCCTTGTCAAACTCGCGGGGATCTTCCACCCTGGCAACTGGTTTTAACCACCTCACACAAGCTGTCCGTTCTTTTGCATTAACACTTTTGATAACTCCAACACGTCTGGGTTTGTAATCATTATCATCATCATCATCAGAGGCCTTCTCCACTACATACTGTTCGGAAACAAATTCATGATCACCAGGAGTATCAATAGGAATCAACTTTGTTGCATCTAGTCCGCGTTCGATAGTCCCATCTTGCCATGCAACATCAACTTTTGTTCTACTATTGACAATCAAAAGTGCTCTTTCAAAAATTTCCTCTTTCTTTCGAGCTCTTTTGTCTTTCCTGATCACAACTTTACGAATCTTCTTGCGATGAAGAGGCCAAGGTTCATGAACTGGCTCTTTGGAAACTGACAGTGCACTACTGCAAGAACTAGATTCAAGCAAGGCTTTAGTTCCATTGCTCTCATCGGGTACAGCTGCTGCATCAAGATCCATTGATTCAATAGTCTCACTTGATTCTTCCATGGTGACTTCTTCTGCACTGCACTCACCTACCAACTGAAAATTTTCTCTCTTACTTTGAACTGAATCATTGAGTCCTAATTTTGATAAACCCTCGTTGATTCCAGTAGAGGATGATTGTGACAAAGATGGAAGGAGACACCAGTCACCTACTTGCCAATTTGCATGTGCAAAACAAGACAACAGTTTTAGATTCTTTGGATTCTGCTCTTCTGCTGGGGCAGTAGAAGAATCAGGTCCATAACCAGCAGATGCTATCCAATATATAAAAGCAGCGCCGGCAGTAACTTTAGTGACAGTCCCTTCCAACCGATTCGCTTTCCATAGGCCAGATAGCCACCTGGAATTTTTGAAAACTGAAGAAGAGCTTGCCCTTACACGCTGGCCTGGATAGTAAGGAAAGTGACCATCATCTTCAAGGGTATTCCTAAGACTTGGTTTGAGTCGCAATGGTTCAGCCTTCATTACTTTACATACTGAACCATCATCAAACATCACAGTAACATTATCTAAAACATCATCAATTCTACCCAACCAGGGACCAAGGACCACATAATCACCCACACTGAAATCCCTAACACGTTTTAGGTCTTTACTTGAGACATCTTTAATAATAGATCCATTGGGAGCTAAAAGATCAACGGAGATATTTACATCTACCAAAACACCCACTTGTCCAGTTGGGTCTGAAGCTGTAGCAACATAATCCCCATGCAAGAATCCCCTATCAACAACAGTTACATCCTTAGTATATTGAACTGGATCAGTATCATCCATCCAAAGCACTCGAACCTGATCAGCTTGAAGAGCACCACACTTATAATTACTGCTACTTCCATTCCCATCACCAGCATCATTTGCATTTACATCACCTTCTTCATCTTCACCTTCCTCATTATCATCTTCATCTTCATCATCTTCATCATCACTTATGCTGTCATCTGAATCTGAGTCACCAGCAACTTCACTTACAATACCAATCACACCACTTTTATTACTCCTCACAACATCTTGTCGATAAATACAAGGAACACTGTGTGAGTTCCTGATGGCCTCATTTGCTATGCTAACATTATCACCATCTTGACTAACATTTTGCCCACCAACAAACTCAATTGGTATAGAATCACCTTGACTTAAGGCATTGCTGT